GGGGGGGGGGGGGGGGGTGGAGGAATTTAGATAACTGGATTGGTTTAGCTTGGAGAAAAAAAGACCAAGGAGAGATGTGGTAACAGTCATCAGATGCATAAAAGATTGCTGCAAAAAAATCATTGTTTTATCCACTAGGATAGAACAGGTAGTAAGCTGCTCAAACTGCAGCAAGGAAGATTTAGATGAGACATTAAGAAACTTTGTCACCTTCAAGATAGTTGAAGGATAATTAAGTGAAGTTGAGACTCTCCATTAGCAAAGGGTTTTTTTAAGAACAGATTGGACAGCTGTCAGGAATGATTTAAGTGTAATTGTGTAAGCGGGTTGCCATGTTTGTGAGTTTCTTCAGGCAGGCTTGTGCTCCCTGGGCAGTGGCTCAGCCAGTGCCAGCAATAAAGGGGGTCTTTAAACAAAGCAAATGATATCCTGTCCCAGACAATTGGAGAGGTTCCTTATAACTCTGACCTTCACAGCAGTCCTGACCTTTAAGCAGTTCAACTCACCATTGCTTCCACATTTGCACTCTTTCTGTAGCCCTCCCAGCGAGCCACTCCCTCACTACTAGCCTTCCTGCAGCTGCAGCTTTTCAGCCAGGCTGGTTGACTCCTCTTAAGGTGAAATGACCATCCTGTGGCAAGTTGATACAGGTCACCCTATGACAAGTCTTGGAAAAGAGAAGGGCTAGAGGACCTTTCAAGGTCCATTCCAGTCCTGTGTTCTATTATTTCTATGATATTCACAATACAGAGAATTACCAGTTCTTGTGAATTGTTCTTAATCCATCCAATTAAGGGATTTCTGGCCCTCAGATTAGCAGTGTGTTTATTTCCTCTAGCAATGCTGTTTTTCTTCTGTCATTGCTCAGGCAAACTACCATTGCTGTCCAAGGGAATTTGCCTGAATAGAAATAGAATAAAATTAAGTTAGTCCCTGCTTTGGTCCCAAGGAAATGGAGTAAATGGAGATGATCTTGAAGACAATGAGCAGACCAGAAGAAATAGAACAGTATAACATTTTATATTTGGACCATATACAGGGAATTTTGATCCTAGTTTCTCTCTCCAGTGAGTGGAAGAAGAACAAAAGCAGTGTATAGTAATCTGTTTGCTTGAGTACAATACCTTCATTTTCAAAGCAATGAATGGATTACCCAATCTTATTCCACTTAGTGTCATGTATTTAGATCTCTACACACCATTTCAAAGTCTTAGCAGTAATTATGATAAGAATACCATGGTAAATATTATAAAACTAGGATATGTTCATAATTAGATAGAGAAAACATTGTTATCATATCGGTCCTCATTCGCCATGTTCTAAATATGGATCAACTAAAAAAGTTTGTATGTCCTGAAGATACTGTACTTAGAATTAATGTATGCCTCCCCTGGGTCTGTGTTTTCCCAGGACAGATATCAGTGGATGGATTTATGCGATATCTGAGTGGGGAGGAGAATGGCGTTGTCGCACCTGAGAAACTGGATTTGAATGAAGATATGTCTCAACCACTGTCTCACTATTTTATCAACTCCTCACACAACACCTACCTCACAGGTACTGTACTAGAAAGGTCTGATTTATTGCTTTACTGACCTAGCAGCATGTTTGCACTCGTACTGTACTCTAGACACACAACAATAAATGATCCTCTACTCTGTTATTCTACAAAGCAGAGAGAGCACCAATATTGACTGATATTCTCACTGCATCACAGATATGTCCCCTACTGAATGCATGTCAGAAGTTATACTGTTCAGTTAAGACCTGATCCAAAGCTCATTGAAATCAGTGGAAAGATTCCCATTGACTTAAAATGGGCTCTGAAACAGGCCCTATATTTGGAAAAGAGATGGTTAATTGTTTAGTGCCCCAGACCACACTGGGACAATGGCTTTGGATAGATTAATTAGTTTTTCAACAGTAGGTTGTTAAGTACCACCCTGAACGTACTTCAGATGGCCTGCAGCAAACTGAACCACAATATTTTTGTGAGATGAAACTTCAGCTTAAGAGTGTGGTGGTTGGAGAGATTAGAGGGGGGTTCCAAAGTAGTTTTTATGACTTTGGACCCTTTTACTGTGTATTACTGAAGAAAAGAGGTCTGATTAAAAGTTTAAAAAACATGACCTCTGAGGAAATACAGAAAGAACTCAATTTATGGAGTGTAGAGAAAAGAAGACAGAAGGGGAGTTTCATAACAGTGTTCCAGTCAAAAAAGGGTTGTTATGAAGAGACTGGTGATCAGTTGTAATCTGTGGCCACTGGGAGACAGGGCAAGAAATAATGTCCTGTTGCAGCAGGGAAGATTAAGATTAGATATTAGGAAGAGTTTTCTAACTACAAGGATGATTAAGCACTGGGACAGACAGATTACCTAGGGAGTTTGTAGATCTCCAGCCTGGAAATTTCTAAGTGCAAGTTAGGCAAACATTTTTCTGGGATAATTTAAGCAGTGGTGGACCTGTCTCGAACAGGGAGTTGAATTAAATGACCTCATAAAGTCCCTTTGAGAAGCAAATTTCTATGATTCTGTGGTCTGCTGCCTTCCTGTAGCATCCAGGCTCATGTTCTGGAGCAGTACTATTTGAAAAAGGATGAACACATAGAAGCTCTTATTGACTTAAATTATATTAAGAACCTGACTTCGACTGTTCGTGCATTAGAATAAATGGGGTTTAGACTCACTTAAAACTGTAAGAGCAAGTTAATTACTCTATAGTAATGTTTAGGAGTCTAAATTTTGGTTTTCATTTCTTACAACTTTCACTGGAAATATTTGTCCTTTTGCAAATAATTATAAATTCACAAGTTTATTTTTTAATATAGCATGTAAAAACTAAAAATTTTAGTTTGAGCATGCTTACTTGGGCAGTTGTTTTCTTGTGTTGGATTTCATCTTAGTATCACCTTGCTTCATATCAAACAAGGAAACAAGGCTAGAATATGTGCTAACATATGACTAGTACAATTGATTTATGGTCTTTTTAATATTGTTAATTTTGCAGATATTCCTCAACTGATGCTTTTAGTTCTGCTGAATACCAGTGTGCAGTAATTCAAACACAGACATTCAGTGGTGTGGCCTCCTCTAAATAGGCCAAGAGGTCGTTCCTTGGATTTGTTATATGTTTGTCATAGCACTTTCCACAGCGCCCACTGATTCTGTTATATAGTTAATGATCTGTCCTCGGTACCATTTGACACCCATTTTTCAGAGATTCATAACTTGGCCATAAAATGTGTTTTGTGCTAAAACTTGACATGTAACAACTCAGTTCAAGAGCAACTGTGTTTCTATAAACTGGGAGGGTGGGGGAACCAAACCAGCTGGACTGCTTTAAAGTTAAAATTCCAGTACAGAAAATTATGATCTCTGAAAGATTGCAGATGACTATGCAAAAGCAGCTTCCTTTTTTTATGGCAATTCTTTGTAAGCACGTTGTCTGTAATGTGGAAAAGGCCCAGTAGGTAAGCGGTAGAACTTATTTAATCAGGATCCTGCCACATCATGCAGAATTCCTGATCCATGGAATATCTCATTTCAATAGGAATGCTGTTGGAGAGATGCAGGAGGTCTGTCACATTATGGTGTCGGCCTACATGGCGGGGAGGCAGCAGAAGCTGGGGCCACATTCTGCTCTCATTTATGTACACAAAAAGATGTAGTAGTTCCCTTGATTTTTGTGGAGGTTTTTACTAGGGCTGAGCAGCATACAGTGAAAGCCTAACTGTTCAACTTAAAAGCACAGCAACCAAGAAATGCAGAATTTTTAAGGAAGAAACATCACATGTCCAGCCCATTTTGTATAGATACTGTAAATGTTTCAGCACAATAAGTGATCTGATAGTACATATCTTAGCTTCTCAGCACAGTTCCTAGCATTTGTGTTTCACTTTGCCTCCCCAGGTTTAAATTAGTCCAGATTCTCAAAAAGTCCTTCCAAGCTGCTCCTGCAGATTACTTGGCATTTGTGAGCAACTTCAGAAGCTGCTCTTGAAAATGTAGCTTTCAGTGTTCATTTGACTTCACTTTAGGGTTTGGCATAATTATAAGACAATTGTAGCACAGGTGGAGAAATGTTGTAATAAACAAGATAAGAAAAATACAGTTTTCTTTTGAGTTGTACACAAACTTTGGTTGAGACAGGAGGAGAGAAGAGACAGAAAACACATGTTCCACTTCTTATTGGGTTCTTCATGCTTAGTAACTCTGAGACAGCTGGCCTGGAATGGGATTTAATCATTAGATTTTATAGATTCATTACAAAAGCTGACAGCCATAGATTTTAATTCCAAGCTAGACCAGTTACAATCGTGTTGCCATTTGCATTCATTCAACAAGCACTTAGTTCAGTTTAACATGTAAAACAAATGCTGCTGAATTATCTCATTTGTGTAGTTGCCCAAGAGCATGTTGAAAGTATTGCAAAGGAAAGCTTCAGGAACATCTGTGCACTCATTTGAGTGGTGCAAATGGCAATAGCAACCAATCATGTAATAATTATTAGGGAGATAGGAAAACCATTTAGTTTAGCAATGCATTTTTGTTATGGTTACATTTATTGCACTACTAATTATCAACCCCTCTGTTAGTTTTTAAGCTAAGAAAATGACATCCCCAGCGAAGTAATATTACACCATAAAGAGAAGCATATGCACAGTCTGAATTTATTTTTAATTATAATGATCATTTTCCTAGCCTTTAGTAGAAACCCTTGGCAGTACATCAAGTCCTGATTATTTATTTAGAGGCTTACTTTTTTTTTCCTTAGGGAAATGTAAGTTTTAAGAATGAAGGTAAACCCTACCAAGAAAGAAATGATTTCCAGTGATTCTAGTCTGACTTAAAGAAATGTCATTTTCACCACTGGTTTTTTTTCGTTTTTTTTTCTCTTTTTCTTTTTTTATCTTACTCTTTCAACCTGTAATTTGCAGCTTTGCTTTGTGACTGATTTCTCATCAGCATTGCCTGAGGTTATTGCTGTTGTCACAGTGGGAAGTGATGCTGGAGCAGCTCTCCTGCAACACTGAGAGCCATGGAATAATGATCTCCATCTATCCTGATCATTATCACACACTTACTTAACCTTTATATGTATTTTGCCATCTGCCTTTTTGCCTGTTAGAGGGGAGGGAAAAAAAACAGTTCAGGACATGAAGCTGAGCAGAGCACAGTTTAATGCTATTTAACAAATAGCAAAATATACCTCAGGAACTTCTACTCCTCCAGTATCCATTGCTTCCATTCATGGTACAGTGCCACCAAGCATCTCTTGATAAAGCTCATAGGAAATACCAAGTAGTGCTCCCCAAAAGAAAGTCATTCTCTCCTCCTGTATTGCCACCATTCTGTATCTGTGCCACACTCCTGCATTTCATAGCCATTAGGGCTAGAAGGGACCTCACAAGATCATTGGGTCCAGCCTTCTGCCCAAGGGGAAGGAAGTCAGCTGGGGTCAGATGACCCCAGCAAGATAAGCATCCAAGATTTTCATAAAGGCATTCAGAGTAGGTACTTGTGCCAATTCTGGGGGGAGTCTATTCCAGACTCTGGAGACTCAGATGGTAAAGAAGTTTTTCCTTATGTCCAGCCTAAAATGGTCTTGCCACAGTTTGTGACTGTTAGATCTTGTCTTCCTTTGGGTGCCCTAGTGAACTAATGTTTTCCCAGTTCCCGATGCACACCACTTATATACTTATAGGCTTCCACCAAGTCACCCCTGAGCCTTTGCTTCTCCAGGCTGAACAGTCCCATGTCTCTCAGCCTCTCCTCATAAGGCCTGTTCTCTTGTCCTCTAATCATGTGTGTGGCTCTCCTCTGGACTGTCTCAAGCTTCTCCACATCTAAAGTGTGGAGCCCAGAACTGGATGCAGTATTCCCTCTCTGGCCTCACCAAGGCCTAGTAAAGTGGGAGGATGACTTCTTGGGTCTTGCTTGAGATGCATTGGTAGATGCAAGCCAGGGTTTGTTAGCTTTGCCAGCTGCAGCATCACATTGGTGGCTCATATTCATCTTGTGGTCTGTCATGACCCCCAAGTGGAGTGTGGAGTCCAGAATTTGATGCAGTACTCCAGCTGCAGCCTCATCAAGGCTGAGTAAAGCAGGAGGATGACTTCTTGGGTCTTGCTTGAGGTGCATCGGTAGATGCAAGCCAGAGTTTTATTTGCTTTGCTAGCTGCAGCTTTGCACTGGTAGCTCATTTTCATCTTGTAGTTGATCATGACCCCCAAGTCCCTTTTGGTCATGGTGCTAGTGAGTGTAGCACGGTTGAGCTTATAAGTATGATGGGTTTTTTCTCCCAACGTGGAGCACCTTGCATTGAGCACCGTGTGTTGAATACCATCAGGTTTTGATCTGCCCACCTTGCAAGCCTGTCTAGGTCAGCCTGAATTGCCAGCTTATCCTCTAGAGTGACCGCACTTCCCCATAATTTGGTGTTATCAACTAAGTCGCAGAAAACAGCAAGCAGGAGGAAAACCTATCCACCTTCTGTGTTAACTGTTTCCCAGCATTTGAACAGGGAACAAACTACATGGTGCTTAATGGATGGAATAATATCGTGCCCAAGAAGTCACATCTATACTTGTAGCCTCAGTACACAAAGGAAAAGAATACATTGTGTTTTGGACTCTAATTCTGTCTTCCTGTGCAAGGCAGAGTCACTTAGGAGGGGAAATGTGCTCTAAGTTTACTACTTCAAAAATAGTAGCCAGTCTCTAACATGTGACCCCATTGAGATCACCAGAAAAACTCCCATTAACTCAATGGCATTGGGTTCCTGCCCAACTTACCTACCATAACTTCAAGCAAGCAGGAATGCCACCTGATTTTCCCTGGCACTTTTTTAAGAGACCATGGCACTTGGGGAAGAAGTTCTCCATGCCTTCTCCCTAAGCTAGCTTTCCACACCATAAGAAATAGCTGATGCAGGAAGGAGAATAAAGAAAGTGGTCATCAAAAAACATAGTTTAACTTATTTCTGCTGTGTTTTAAAGGGTTGATGCAAAACCCCAGCTTTGAAAAGTAGACACTTTGAGGCTTTTGAAATCTAACTCTGGATTTCACATTTGAGTCAGTCTTCCATTAAAACAAAACTTAAAATGTAGTTAAATCTGAATTTGTTTCAGCTCATTGAATACAGATAAGAAAGACTGCATATTCCAAAGGTGTTCCTAAAATATTTGGTTTAGATGTCACCTCATGCAGTATGCATCGTATTTTCAACTTGAATAAATACAGCTTAAAGTTTGCATTCTTAGGTGCCTGACCCATGTGTGCAATACCCAGTTTGTATATGACTCTTGGGTATTTACCAGTTTAGTCGTGCAGTTGAAAAAATACATGTGTAACATTTTACATGCCTATGGTGTGGGGAGAAAGTACAAGTGTGTGGCTTCTCCATTATCAGTAGCCCAAATTTGGAAGGTCTGAGTGCATGTTCAATAAGCTATGCTATTTGTAGACAAAATTGGTCATTACAAGTAGAAGGATATCTGCCCATTCCTGAAGACAGTGGGTCAGAATCGTGGCTGGCAAAATCCAGATAGCTCCATTGACCTTGAACTATTCCAGTTTACATCCAGTGAGTTCAGAAATGTAGGTTTTTCAAAATATGCTCTCCCTTGCCCAATGTAGTACAGAAACAGCTAGAGTACTATAATGCTACACTAGATACTGTGTGTATTGAGGAAAAGAATGTCTAATAATTTCAGTTTTTATTATTAAATTGTGATATATTGTATGGTATTTTGAAGTATTACCATTGGTGTTTGATATTAGGATGCTTTCTAATACTTTGTTGAAAAGAATAATTTGTAGTAGATGCAGATTCAAATACCATCAGTGTCCTAAATAATGTACATTGAAGTCCTTAATGGAATATTGTCTGTATTCTGTATCTCAGAAAAATTAGACGTCAATACCATTTTGGTACCATTTTGTAATCTGATGACAGTCCAGCTGAGGACTGACTGTTCACAAAGCATGAACATCCTCTTGCCCTGAGCTGTGATCCTTTCGAAGAGAGGTGAATCTTACTAACAACACAGCATGAAAAAGTGTCATAGAGCAAGTAGTGCATGTGATGATTTAGTTAGAGTCTTAGAAGGTCAAGGATTTCTTAGGTCTAAAATGTTTGCTACAAACCTGTAGATGATGGACAGTAGTCTCCTCAGAAATACAGTACTGAGTGTTAATCAAAATCCAGTATGCTTTGAGGAAAAACAAAGACAGCATAAAGGGAAACAGTTCTATAAAGACATACAGCTTTTCAGTTAATCATAGAGAGGTAAGACTGGAAAGGACCTCCAGAGGTTATCTAGTCCATCCCAAATATAGATCAAAAACAGACCCTTAAAATGCATGTGTGCTGCTAATTAATGTGTGCTTGAGCTGGTTATGTATTTTTCCAGGAAAATAGATAACTGTGCACCATGAATGGTGTGGTTGCACACAAAAGATGTTTTCAAGTAAGATTATCTGTTTGTGTAGCTATCTGCACCTGAAAGCATATGCTAAAGGATCAAAGTGGAAAACATTGAAGAAAACAGGATAGAAAAGTAGATTAGAAAAGAAAATAGAGGAACAAACAAAAAAAGAAGTGAGAGGAATCAGCTGCATGTAAACACCTTTGCTGAATTCTCAGGATAGGATTTCCAAAAGCACTCAGCTTTGGTCTAGTTCTGCTGTCAGTGAAGCAAAAATTCCTGTTGATTTCAGAGGTTTGCCAGTACTTAGTGCTTTGGTGGTTCCGTCTTTGATTCACTATATCAAAGACAAGCCTTAAATAAGCATTTGCAAAAAGGTCCTTTAGTTAATTTTAATGTGAATTGAAAATACAGTAAAAATAAAGAAAAAATAGAAGTCTAAATTTAGTGGAACTAGTGGAAGTGCTTAGTTCGCAGAAAAAAGCTGGATGACTATAGAAATAGTAACAGAATAGAAGTACATTAATCTACAAGTATAGTATATAGCAATCTATTTAAGGTATTTATATGTCCCCAGTTCTATATGATCGGAGCTTCCATCACTCTTTATCCTCTCAGTACCCTTGTAAAGTTAGGGAAGTTCTATTCCCATTTTACAGATCCATACAGAAAGCAGAAAGCTAGCTCATGTCATACAGCAAGTGTGTAGTAGGGCAAGAATTGGAATCACATTCTTTGAAGCTAGCTCTGAACAATTCTTTTGATATCTTTATGGCTTTGTCACAAAAAGTCTTTACTACCATTACTGATGCTGAACCTGTCAGAAAAATTGAAGATTCCTATGCCTGTAAGTTCAGCATCTTTCATGATCAGGAACATTTGATTTAAGTCAGGGGTGTCAAGCATATGGCCCACGGGCCAGATCCAGCCTGCAGAGCTTCTCCATCCAGCCCACTGGGCTACTCGTGGGCCAGGCTATTTGAGGGCCTGGCTAGCAAGGGACAGGGCCTGCTACAGAATGTAGGAGTCCTGTTGACCGTGTCTGTTAATAGGAAACAAGGACTGTGTTGATACAGCTTGGCTCGCCCTGTAACCACTTGCCTTGCCACCTCTGCAGTTGTATCACCTCCGTGGTAGTAAGCAGTGATTTGGCCTGCAGCTGCTTGCCCCACTGTTTCTTCTACTGGACCTGCTGCTTGCCCTGTGGATCCAGCCTACAGAGCCAAGTGTCCTGGATCTATCACAAAGCACAGGATACTTTACTACCCTTGATTTAAATCATGGGGGGAAGATATCTACCAAAAGTCTCCTTGTTTGACAAAAGTTGGGTTTTGGTTGCTTGTCTATTTAATTTGCAACATGTTATTATCGAAAATGGACAATATCATTGCACCTCTTAGTGCAATATCATATCAGGAAGTTTAACTGACCAGTTCAGTATAAGGATTAGCATGTTAACTACTGATTTGGGAGATGGCAGAGCAACTGTACAGCAGTTGATTTTATATTGTATGGAAATGTCATATGTGCTATGACAAAACATGTTTTTTGCTGTTCTGGTTTTATTAGGTGTCCTTCAGCTCTTGTGTGGCTCAAAAGGTATAGCATCCCTTAGACTTCAGATGGTTGAAAGAGCTACTTATTAAAGTATAACATTCAAGCTATTTTAGGAAGTTAGACATTACTCTTCGAGAACAGCAAAAACAGCAGAGCTTTTTTTATAGTCCTGCAATTATGAAAAATCTTGCTGCTGTCAAAGTACACATTTAACAGTCTTATCATTTTAGGCAAACATTTCACAGAATGGAGAGTAATATTGGGTGACACTGGCTATACTGTTATTTTAACTGTCTTGATTCTGCATTTCCCTGTTGTTTTGCACCTGTTGGTTTCAATGAAGTCTGTCTTTGTTTGCCACAGTATAACTAAGAGCAGAATCCAGACAACCTCGTTGACTTGGCTTAACTCATTTTCATTAAATTCTCAAGCTTTTTACATGCCTTTGACAGCTTGCTTGTCACCAGAGGGTAAAATCTGCTGTTAACTCTAATTATTATTAGATTCTTTGTACTGGCTCCATAAGCCTCGAATGAGTTCCCTTGTTACCTGTTCATGTTATTTTGTCACAGCTGGACAGCTGGCTGGTAACTCCTCAGTAGAGATGTATCGCCAAGTGCTTTTGTCAGGCTGCCGCTGTGTGGAGCTGGATTGCTGGAAAGGACGCACAGCAGAAGAAGAGCCGGTCATTACACATGGATTCACCATGACAACTGAAATTTCCTTCAAGGTATGATAATACAGTACAGTGTCACTCTAGCTGGTATAGTTTCTTTTTGTGGAAAATGCATCCAGAATGCTTTACAAACTTAAGTACATTTCTCCAGGGAATATAGTAAAGTGAAGGTGGAAGGAAAAAGACTTGAGGGGCAAAGAGATGTCTTCAGATGACATTGAAAATAGATAGAGAGCTGTTGAAACTGAGGAGGGAAAGGCTGTTGAAATGTTCTGGTCCTGAAGAGTAAAAGGTCACCAATGATCATGAAGTCAGGAAAGGGACTGTATAGGGTAGTTGCCTGCAGGGCCAGTGTATTGGGCTGAATGACCCAGGAGGCCTCCGCCTGTTCCAGGTTCCTCTAAGTGGAGGACACTTCAGGACAGAGAAGAGGCCAGTGCTGTGTTTCAGACAAAGCAGGAAGACAAACATGGAGTCCTCAGCTAATTTTATGCACATGGAGATGAATGGGAATTGGATCTTGAGGTGAACAGGAGCCAGTAGGATTGTTAGAAGATAGAGGGGATATTGTCCCATTCCTTAGTACAAGTGAGAAGATGCTCAAGAAAATCCTTTACATGCCAGAATCTGGAAAGCTGGGACCTGCATTGTGATGAAATGGGTCCAAACAAGGAAAGATGAGTGAAGATTTCGATACCAAAAGAGGCAGTTTTCTCCTACCCAAGTTTGCGGCCATGGGTTTTCTCTCCTTTCCATGGCGTTCAATACTACTCCTGCCTTTGCCCTGACAAGGCTGCAGGATAAATTGCTGTTTAGTGGGCTCAGAGCCCACACAAACTTAAAAAATAGGCCTCCTCCCCTTCAGGATCCCAAGAGCTGCCAAAATACCAATGCTTTGAGTGGTGCTTTAGGTGTACTCCTTAGTCCCATGGCTCTGGATGCCTTGGTCTCTGGTACCACATGGCTTAGGAAACAGGGAATAAATAGGGAAAGCAGGAAACTAAAAATACCAGAGCTTAGAAAGTAGTGAGACCACAAACACAGTTGAAGAAATTAATTCAGCTGTAAATTCAAGTTAGCAGAGAACAGTGGGCCCCTCCATCCAGGTAAGTGAGATATTAAGATTATCAATTGGACCTGAGCATTTGTAGCAATAATAATAAAAAATTTAAAAGTTAACTCTAATGGATACAACTTTCCCATTCGGGGCAGTAGAAGCAACTGCTGTGGTGGGGAAAGCAGTGGTGTGATGCAAGGGGCCAGACCTTGTCCACCTGTGCCTGCCCCCCTGCCACATGCCCACCCTGCCTCCTGCCCCTCTATGCCTTTTCCTGCCCCCCACTCCCTGAATCCCACACTCCAGGCCCCCACCCTACCTTATCTTCTGCTGCAGCTCTGCTCCCCTGGGATAGTCAGCAGAAGTGGCAGCCCAGGCCTGGCCCCAGCCCAGCCTGGCTAGGAAGAAGCAGTGGCAGCTCCCTGCCAGGCCAGCTCAGGACTGGAAGGACCAGAGCTGGAGCATAAGGTCAGGGGGGGATGCTGTGGGGAGTGGAGCAGTGGGTGGGGCGAAGCCTCAGTGGGGGGCAGAGGGTAGGAGGGGTAGGCATAGGCACAGAGGGTAAGGGGAAGAGCAGACTATAGGTTCCCCTACACCCCCACCCCATGGTCTCCCCTATGCGCCCTCTGGCTGCGTGCCCTTTTCCCACCAAAAACGCTATTTCTGCCAGGGCAGGCAGCAGTTCATCTCCAGCTTTTGCCCTGAGTGCATTGCCAGAACTGAGCTGCTGCCTTCCCCAGCCAGTACTGGAGTCCAAGATGAGACTCTTTTCCCCTGCCCCCTCCCAATACTGATTTGGATTCAAGGAAATAACAGTATATAGCTGTGAGTCTTCATTGTGCATTTGATCTGTAGGCTGTTTCTGTCTTTTGTTTTTTGTCTACATTAGATAGTCAGCAGTAACAGTACTCAGCTTAAAATGTTGCATCCAGGTAGAATTTTTGACTTCCAAAAAAGATATTTCTATATATTTTAGGTATTTCTTTTTCCATGAGACTACCTTTCTAGGCTTACTTATATGCAGAAGGCTTATGGGGGGAAAAACATCCTTCTGTGAAATATCATAATAGAACAAGTGACAGGTCCTACTACTTTTCCAACTACAAATTTTATGTCTTCTACTCTGAGGCACAAGTGTATTTTTGTCTAGATAGTAATTTCTTAAAGATAAACATAGTGGACACAACAACGTGTCTGCTGTTCCATACTTACCATGTTTTTCTTGAACTCCGCTCCAATTGATATATTCCCAGGAAAATATAAAATATAATCCTTTTGCACTATTACTACTAACTCTCCCATTAAATTGGCAAAAAACTTGTTGATACTGGTATGTGTAGAGTTTGGTTCCTAAAAGATGTTTTATTAAATAAAATTGTTCTCAACATTTTTTCAGCCACGTGTAAAAGCATAAAGCAACCTGCTACCTGACCCTATAAAAGTGCCTTAGCCTCCTGGAGAAGGAAGTCCAAAATCGTTGGAAGTTTAGCCCATTCTGTGATACAGCTCAGTCTCTGTACCACTGGAGTATGACTGATATGAACAGGGTCAGATTAACCCTTTAGCGGGCCCTAGGCAAACACACTAGGCACCTAGTTGCTTTGCATAGGGCAGCAGCCGCTGCCAGGGCTTGGAGCTGCAGCATGTATCCCTAGAAAGGAAAAGGAGCCGGGCAGCACTGCAGCAGCATGGCAGTGGCACTGCTGCAGCAAATTAAGTACAACTGGGCCCCTTCTTCGCTTAGGGCCCTAGGTATGTGCCTAGTTTGCCTATGAGTTAATCCAGCCCTGGATCTGAAAAGGAAATTCTGAATCTAAAACAAACTTTCAGTCACTCCGAAGGTGGAGGTTCATATTGTTTCTTTGTTTTTAATTTATTTCTTGCTGCTTTTCTTCCTTTCTAAAGTGTATGCTGCTTGACTTGGAATGAACAAAGTGGCAGTGAAATAGCACGTCAATGGTGTGTGAATCAATTCTGAATGATCACTGACTCTGGCTCTTGAGTGCTGAGTCATTAATCAGTTCACTCTTTTGGCATGTCTATGACATGCAATGCTTTTTTGCTCAGTCTGCCAGTTGATACTGACTCAAATAGATTTTCTCAGCTTCAGGAATAATATAAACTCACCATGAAAGAACTTCATTCTTTTGCTTTTTTTTAACCTCACCTCTTGATTTGGAGGAATTTGTGAGGTTTCTATGTGCTGCTTAGAACTGCAGAGGTGTATGACTGTACAACAAAACCAAACATGTTTTCTCTCCTCAAAATCAGAATGTGCTTTCTGTGTATGTATTACTTTTATAGGGTATTTTGGAGGATCACTTCAAGTGAGTCTGACTCCTGTTGTGGCAAAGCTTGCATCTTAGTTTCCCTTCTACCTTTTATCTTTTACTCATTGAAGATGATCATGGTATAAATATGAAGACCCAGGACAACCTTGAAATGGGACATCACTTCATTTACCCCATTTCCTTGTCTCTCATCTACAGATTTTGACCATACAGAAGAACCATTCACACTTTTTACCCTTATAGAGCTGATGCCTCCTCCTGTAGTCAGTATTAAACAGTTAAGTTGTAGTTGAGAATATCGACACTTTAAAATGACTGTATGGAACTTGTCCATAACTAGAGGATAAAACCTGCCTCAGATGCCTAAGGGAAGTGCTTTACTGCAATATTCTGCTCCCTTCACATACACAGAACTCCCACTACTATCCAGGTTTAGTATTGCTGTGTAGATCTGAGAGTAGAACTGAGCTCTCAGTCCCTAGCAGGTGTTAAAAGGCTAACACATGCTCTTTACCTGAACATGAGTCACAGGCTCCTGCAGACTGTCAGAATCTACTACAAAATAGCATTTAGCTCCATGCAGTACAGCTGAGGGCTTGAAAAATGTGTGTTTTTATTGTGTTTACAGGTACAATTGTGGTTCAGTTTTGAGGGTGATAAATTAGACCAAAAAAAGTAATGAATAACTCTTAGAATCTCTAAAGATGGTTTGCCCTTTTTTGGTAGGTCATATTGTTCTTATATTGGTGAGGGATTGTCCAAATGAGCCTACTGACTTACAAGTATAAATTCCACTGACTTTCAAGTGCTCCAACATCACTTAAACTCCTGTCATAAATCCAACAGAGTGCCAAATTTAAGGTGACAAAACTATTTGGTGATATATCAACACCATCAAAAGGAAGTATTTTGTGCTGTCCAATAGCATAATATATGTCATTGGACATATAGTGGATGTGGATGTTGACATTGGTGGGTAGACCACTTGACTTGTGGAGGACTGATTTTAGAGTCTGCTCTGGCCACCATCATCCACACCTTCATAACCTTAACATTAGACTACTGTAGTGTACTCTACATAGGGCTGCCCTTGAAAACTGTCCAGAAACTGCAACTGGTGCATAATACAGTAGCCCACCTTCTGATGGAGATAGGTCATGAGGAGTGCAAAACTCCAGTCCTCCAATGTCTGCACTGACTCCCAACAGCTTTTTTGGTGCATTTCAAGGTACTACTCTTGACTTATAAGTCCCTAAACAGCCTGAGCCCTACATACTTAAGGGATTCTTCCCTATGCCCTGTCATGATCCCTAAAGTCAGCCAAGGGCAATGTCCTGCAGGTACTATCCATATGTCAAGTCCTTTGATGAAAAGGTATAGGAGGTCATTCTCAGCAGTCAATCCTCAGCTCTGGAACTCCCTCTTGAAGCTCTCCAGAGCACAAGACTGAACATCTTTCAGAAATGCGGCAATACCTTTCTATTTGGGCAGTCATTTAGCAGGCAAAACTAGGCTGAGATGTTGTCTGGTGGGTCTCTGCTTTGTTTTGTTTTATTTTGTTTTATTTTTTCTATTTGCCCTTTTAAGTTGTTCTGTTTCTCTTGCTCTTAAGCTGCTGTGAACCTTTGTTGGAAAGGTCAGCATGTAAATTGCATAAATAAATAAATTGCATGAATACATTTGCTGATGGTTATCTATTATCAGACTAGATGTGATTACTGAATATTGATTTACTTAGTGATTTTAATTCTGTAAATAAAAATAACCATGATGCTACTGCTTGATATGGCCAACCCCATGCTAGGCTCTCAACTGGGAAATTACTTACAGAAGAAAAGAAAAAAAATAAAGTTTTGGCTTTTGATGCTGCTCAGAGTTTGGAAAATTAAAAATAATCCTGGTAGAAATGGATTTATAGAGTCGACATGAGGCAGTTAAAAATTCTAGATGGTTGTTCTTTAACACACAGTGTCACCATATCGTACACATGTGTGCATGAGTGAGCATATATTTATAGCCACCTAGATAAGGAACCAGTTTCCTAGCTCTCTCAACTTCAGGGCTAGGGACAGACAGTCAAAAAGCCTGAGCCTGAATTGATTCAGTCTTTGCAGGTTAGTCTAAGCCTTGTCACAGCACGGACCAGAGCCAGCATGTGGTCTGCTAGCTAATACACAGATACCTCTCAGCAAAGCAGAGGGGAGGGGGGAATTCCTGCATAGCAGGGAGTGGTGAGGGGGAGGGGGAAGAGCAGCCTGCAAATCTCTGCAAGAGTTGCTGCCAGGGAGCAGAGGGGAGGGGCCAGCTCTTCTGTGGAGCAGAAAGCCCTGCCCAGCCCAGAGAGCATGCTGGGATGCTTGGGGTGTCTGGCTTAACTTAAACCAGCAAGGGGTCTGGGACAGATATTGCATAAACTGGTTTGACCCAAGTCAGTTAAGTCTGATTCTACATTGAACCAGGTTTATCTCAAACCAGTTTCAGCCATTTTCAGACTGGTTTATGTACACTGAACATCTGTTCTGTTACAGGTTTAAACCAGTTTCTGATCACTGACCTGGTTTATGTATAATGTCTGTTCCTAGGCCAGGCGAGGATCTTCTCCAGACAACATAGATATGAAATAATACAAAAACTGTAAAGACTGAATTATAGTTGATGTTGCCAAATCTTTCTGTACTGGATATTTTTCTTCAAGCCTAGACTTGGCTATCATATGAACACACCAAAATATATCAATTTGGTGGAAAAAGGAGTACATTTCTAAACATGATGGTTGCAAAAATTAGCTTTAAAATATAACCCTGAAAAGTTCACAAGCCAGAAAACAAACAAACAGTAATCCAAATACAGTTTTTAAAATATTATTTTAAAACTGATCTCATGATTTTACAAGGGCCTAACTCATAATTTTTGCTTAAATACCAAAGGTTGGCAACAGTGCATGTGAAAAAAATTCCAATGCTGGTGTGAAACAAGCATGTAACCCAAGAGGGAAATGTAAATAATTTCTAACAATAAGTATTTTACTACAGGGTATAATGAGCCTACAGCTGAAATTAGTGTCATAAAATGATTACGTGTGTGTGTGTGTGTGTGTGTGTGTGTGTGTGTGTGTGTGTGTGTGTGTGTGTGTGTGTGTAAAATAGAGAAAACCAGAGATTTTTATCCTTTACAGGAAAATGTGGATTTTTAATTTTACTAGAGAAACCTGCTGTTTCCATTTTGCAAACAGCTCTCTGCAGGCTGGCAGAGTTCCAGGCTGCAAAGGGCAGAGAGGAAATGGGAGGAGGGTGGTAAGGAAGGGAGCATAATGTGCATGTATATACACATAGCTGCCAAGGAGCCTGGAGGGTCGCTCGCACAGGTAAGTGGGGGCAGGGATTTGAGGTCCCCCTAGGGAGGGAGGAAGTTGAGCAGGGTTGGGGCTGGGGATGCTGCCTGAGTGGGTGTTGCATTCGGCTTGCAGCCCAGGGCTGCAATGCATGGCCACAGGGCCCCTGCGGGGAGTGGGAGAGGGGCACAGGTGGCTCGTGTGGGGGAGAGGGGCCAGCTCCCTGCTGCTACATGCACTCCTGGGTGGACAGGGGGATCTGTGACCCCCCCCAGATCTGTGCATGGGGCGGGGCTGGGCATGAGCTGGTGCTCCCACCTTGCGGCCCAGCAGGTGAGACCCAGCACTGTGGAGCAGAGCAGGGTTTTGTGGGGAAGCTGTTTGCTGCTGCAAGCTCTGTGCCACCCTGCTGATGTGCCCCCTGCATGCAGGGGAGGGCAGCATGGCAGGAGCCTGAGCCTGCAGTGGGCAGCCTGCACCCACCCCGAACCCCACACCAGAAGGGGGCATAGTGGCAGGGAACTGCCCCCCCCACCCGAGCCTGCCACAGGCAGCCAGGCACAGGAGGGGGGAGCTGGGCTCTGTTTCGCTGCAGCAGCCACCACCTCCTGCCAGGGGCAGGTGGCTGCAGACCCAGGTTCCTGGCCCCATAGCCCTGGTAGTTGGGGGCCCCCTCTGGCAGGTCTGGGGGGGCAGGGGGCTGTGGGTGGGGGGCAAGGGGCACCAGCAGAGCTGTGGGGGCTATGGGGGGGAAGTGCAGGACACAAGCAGGGCCAGGGGTTTGTAGGGGGAGGGAATGAGGGCTTTTCATTTTAATCACGAATTTTGAGGTTTCTGTCAGAATTTGCAATTTTTTTATCGTGGAAAACCGGGATCCCCGGTGTTCACGTACTATTGCTTATTCAGTCAAAGTTGAAAACCAGCTTTTATAAACAATCCAGTTTCTGAACTGATGTTTGATGATTATTACACAGTAGGTTGCTAAAACTGAATGAAGAAATCTTTCATTTTTATACCTTGGAGGGATTTCCCACATCAAAAAAAAGGGATACTGAAAGTTGTGGATCAGAGTAACTAAGGCTTTTACCCCTCAAAAAAAAAATGCTGCTCAAAAAATACAACAAGCTTGCCAAACAGAACACGAATTATTTTAATTATGCAAAATAGTCCATGAAAGGCATAGCTTTAGGAGTGGCATTGTTTCCTGCAAAGACAAAATTATGTTTAAGCTATTTTTTCATTCACAGACGGGCACCAAAATGTTCCTGGAGTAATGTAACTCTTGAGGCTACTCTGTCATTTTAAAAATAAGCTTTCAGGTTGCTTTGAATAAAAGATCTGGCCAGGGTTTTGAAAGGCACTCAGGTCTCTTACGTTTGCTTTGCAGGTAGATAAGTTAAATCAGAAACCAGAATGCATTTACGTTAGCTACAAGGTTGTGTGACTCACCTGTGTTCTAATTCTTTAGGAAGTCATAGAAGCAATTGCTGAATGTGCATTTAAGACATCACCTTTTCCAATCCTCCTCTCCTTTGAAAACCACGTGGATTCGTAAGTAATTATAGGATTGCAGTGTATAGTATTATAACTTGACAAAGCCTAACCTCAGGATTGTTTAGCCATTCTTGGCATTTTTATTAGTTGGCTTTTTCATCAGTCAGCATCACCACGTTTCTGTCATCCTGTACTTAGGCTCTATTTCGGCAGCATACTTAAGCACAGTCAAGCAAGTGTGAGTAGTACCATGACATCAAATGAAACTTGTCAGCTCCTTCAAGTTAGGCATGTTCTGGGGTGTCTTGGTGAATCAAAGCCTTAAGTATGAATGGGTATGTTTAAATAGTCATGGGCCAAATGCTGCCACTTTTCCTTAGGTTGAGAAATATCTGACTCGTCAAGCAGCCCCATATGATTTTATTGTAGCTACTCCATGACCACTTAACAAGAGAACAGAGGACAGAATCTGACCCTTTGTGTAAAGATTTGGGGTCAGATTCCCAATGACAGTAAAATAAAACTAAAAGAGGGAGCATGAAAGAATATGCATCATAATCACTTTAACCCACACAGCTCTACGTGGAGGGGTTGTGGAAACTTTTTCACTGGAAATTTTTAAGAACAAAATAGATGAGCATACATCAGGGATGCTCTTAAGTATATGAGATACTTCCTCAGAACACAAAAATGGGTTACATGATCTCTTGACATCCTTCTCAGCCCCACATTTTTACTGATTCTGTGGTATGATTATCAATGAATACTTCATCACTCAAACTAGCTGGTCCACAGAGCAAGATTTAATCTACAGAAATAATTACTCATGCCTCCCTTCTACCAGAATCTCAGCTCTAAGACCTCAGTCTTAATCTTGCTAAGGAATGAGTTACTTAGCTCATACCTAAATGTCATCAGGACCCATAAATTAGTCAATTCTCTTGGCATTCTTGGATTGTGATGCACACAAAGACAGCTGAAGGAAGCAAAGGTATCCTGCTTTTATTCATAGTCCGGTAGTTAGGACACTCACTACAAAGCCCCAGGTTCAAATGTCTTCTCAGCATGAGGAGATGAAAGCCACATCTCCCATCTCCCTGTTTGGGCTTGTGCTCTTTTGCTTTCTGTGCCAACAGATCTTAAATTCTTTGCTGCATTGACATAGCTTCAGTAGGAGGGGTGGAGCATGCTTTCTTCTGTCTTACAGCAGAATTCATCATTAACTGCACTGTCTCTGCATTATGGCAAAACAATGGTCAAAGTAACAGTTTAGGTCCAAGCAACCACAAAACTGATGATTACCAGACTATCTCATACCATACTTCTTTTTTTAACCCCTCCTTCCATTCACAAAACGAGTCAGATAAGGTTGTTTGGGTAAATGTGATATCTTTTATCAAACCACCTGAATAGTTGAAAAAATTGTTCTTTACAAGCTTTCAGGCAAAAGCACGCTTCTTCAGGCAGAGGGAGAGTCTGCTGGTGTTAGACACAGAGTAGACAAACACCAGCAGGCTTTCCCTGTGCCTGAAGCTTGTGCCCTAAAGCTTGTAAAGAACAATCTTTCCAACTGTTCAGTTCATCTGATAAAAGATATCACATTTACCCAAATAACCTTGGGTGCAGACAGAGGTGACAATCTTTGCCTGGACTGGCCAGAAGAAAGCAGTTTATAGGTGTGACCAAACACAAGTGTACAGCTGCAGATAGTTTAAAAAATGACTATTGAGTGAAAATCTGACCCTTCATTGCATGATGTATCAGATAAAGCTGTTACAAAATGTGGCATCTTTTGTAACTTGTGTCTGAAGAGCTCCCTGCCTGTCACTGTTTTTAGAATGGGAGGGGGAAAGGGAGTGGAAGGAGTTCAGTCTGGGAGTTTTTCAGCCCTCCCCTGGAGGGTGGAGTGGGTGTATTGCAGCCCCTCCCAAGGTGGGGGAAGAAGGGGACTCCAATTCACCCACCCCATCCTTCAGCACCAGCTGGGGAGCCCCAAAAACAAGCTCTCTCTGCTGCCTTTCCCCACTCCCATTCTGAACACAGCAAACACTGGCAGAGAGCCCTGGCTATTGCTATGGGAACCTGGTTGCAGGCTCTGGGCTGGCAGCTAGATTTCCCTCCCCCCTGGAACCAGCAATGAACTTCTGTTTGGCCTGGGGTATCATTGTAACTCAGAACAGTTTGCAGAAATCGTTCTGAGTTACAGCTGGGAGCTGCACTTCTGTCTGCACCCCTTGTCTGCCTATATCCTTAGACCAACACAGCTACAAGCAATAACCCAGAAAACACTCAGCAACTCGTGACCACAGATTTGAGTTATGCCAGTAGGACTAAATTGAAAGTTTCATGTGAAGGTATGTAGAAGGGTGTGCATGGAAAACAGACTGGGTTTGTGTTGCTTTTAAACCAAAATGCTTTAGTACTACTGCTCTACTACTACTACACCTGTTAGTATCTTCCATTGACAAACTGCCTTTCTTTTGGCTCTTTGAGATGGCTTGTACTCACTTATGTTCAAGTTACCAGTGTCTAACTCACATAATCTTTTACAACACTTCTGAATTTGGCTCATAGCCTGCAAGAGCCAATCCTTTTCCTTCCAATCTTTTATATTAAACCTATTGAAAGACTCTGGGTATGTCTACACATTGCCCTACAGTGACACAACGATGCACTCTGTCACTGTATGGCACGCTACGGCAGCATAGCAGTCGCATGGGTCTACATTTGATCGCCAGCTACAATGCCACAGCAGTGTGCTCCTCGAGTATAGTGTGCCACCATGGCAATGTAGCTGGGAAATTTACCTGTATGCCGTGTGTACGGCACAGTAACAGCCCATACTACACCATGCTTTAGTACTTCCTTTTGGAAGTACTAAAGCACAGCACCGTAGCAATGTTGCCATATGGCAATGTGTAAATGCACCCACTGTCTATAAAAGGCAAGGAAGAACCACCCTGTGGGCCTATCTATTATCTCAACCATCCATGTAATAAGCTTAAGCAAAAAAGCATTAGGAATAAGGTCTTTCACTTTCTTTGGAATGCCTTAATGTACTTTACTATATAAAAACTAAAGAATTTATAATGGTTTGGGGTGGGGGCGGGAATTAAATGCCAAAACAACTCCAAAAAAATGACACCAAACTTAAAATATCAATTAGAGGTGATATAAAAATCCAGTAGAGTGATAAAAAGGAGCATTATCAGTGCATGAATCCAGTCTTATGACAGTTTATCTCCACAACAATTTGTGGATAAATCCCTGTCATAGCCTATAGTAATGGATGATGAATTCGGCCCTGGATGTACTGCCGTGCTCTTCCATGTGTTGTTATAACAGTAAAAGGTTATTATTGAAGCCCATTTGAAAAATGTTTTCTCTTTTGTGAGGTTTACAATTGATTACTCTGGGTAGTTGTTGTTTTTGCAGCAATAAATGATTAAATGTAATGCATATGGTTTCTAATTCTGTTTTATCTGAATACTATTTCCAGTCATTTAACTGAATGCCACCATTAGACTTTCATTTTACTACAAGTCACTAAAGAAATCTACAGTTGATCATGCTGGTCAGAGAAACTGTCACATAATTTCATGGACTATTTTTTCTATCTCCATATTTACACAGAACATTGTTTTTCCCTTAATTTTTCAACAGCATTCAGGTCTGAAAATCAATGTCTTTCAGTTCTAGAGAATTAGTGCCAAATCACAAGTGAATCACCTCCCAGTTATTTCATGGGGACCAGAATTTGCCTTAGCTCTTCAGCTCTTAGACTCCCTCCATACTAAGGGAGAATTTTGTGGCTGAAATCCTGGTCCCACCGAAGTCAGTGGGAACTTTACTGTTATATGGTATATGTTTTGTTCATATCTCTTTAGGGAATTGAAATTACTGTGCAGCAAATATTTTAGATCACTCCCATGGATAAATACAATATTGTTAATCATCAGCTTAATTCCTTTCCATATTTTTTCCAAGTAAAATTCAGACCTCATACAGTTTGATAGCATGTGAGTTAGATTCTCCTACCTTTCTGCCCATAATTCCAGTATGCAGTATCATCATTCATACCCATTTTTTATACAATAAGAAGTCCAGTAGGATGTTTAGGTGCATATGTATTGCTATACACTGCAGAGTATATTTGTTGTAAAATTCATATATTGCGCTTTATATTATTTGATATGCAGTATAATATTTATAGTCTAAAAGCCATTCATTTATATATCTCTTCATGTATGAATTTATCTTTTATATTAGTTTTACATAAATAAATCTATTCTGCATAGTTATTGCTTATAAAAGTATTTGTTTATACATTATCTCTTAATGTAATTGATCTATTTGTTAGACGTTATTGTATATAATATAATCATTTTGTAATTCCTGAACATATATTCAAATCAAAGTTTATATACTGGGAAAAAACACTACAAACAAAAGAAATGATCCCACTTTCTTCCAGTGTGCAAAAATGGGGGAGGGGAGGGAGAAAACCTTTAGGACCTTGAACATATTGGAAAGATATAAAAAAAAACCTTGAGGTTTGAAGTGAAGCTAATTTAAGAAGATAAGATATCTAAAAATCTAATGGCAGACACTTCTGTAATTAGGAATACACTGATGACATAGGGAAAAGGTTAAGTAATCCTTGAATGGTATCCATTTAAGATCAGTGTTAAGATTGAACATAATTAATTACATTGAGATTGCTGATTCTGGCTAGAATTATTTTACAAATGTTAATAGTTTTTTTCTATCAAGTTTTCTGGTTCCATTTTACTTCTTTTTTTTTTACTTGCTGTGGGAAAGAACAGAGTTTTTATTTGTGTCATAAGTAAGACTATTCTCAATATTAATAATGAAAATATACTGCTGCAGCTATTATTATTATTTAAGAAGTCTGTCCCAAATAATAATAGTAATAACAGCAACAATAATAATGACAATAACAGCAACAACCACCACAACAATATGGCATTGGTTCTTAGAGTGTATTGTGATGGATACAAAACACAGGAATTGCTCCAGGAAAGGGAACCTTTTGC